CCCCCCCCGCCGGGGAGACCGCAGAACCCCTCTGCACCTCTAGGAAGGGAGCCGGGAACTTGGCCTGGTGCGAAACCGCAGTCCTCGATCTTCACTCGCAGGTCCTGCAAAGCACACACCAGCCCCCAGACCCTCGCGGCGTCATCTTTGCTCATTTTTCAAGAGGGCGAAGTAGGCTAGGAGAGTCCCGGCCCCTCTCTAAGCGCCGCCCTCTTTCTCTCGGACCTGCAGCGTCCAGCTCGGGCTCCCGTTCCCCAGAACGGTGGGGGCGGCCGTGGGGGTTCGGGTGGTGCGGGACGGCATGGAGTCCTGTAAAAAAGAAAAAAAAAGTATCATGCATCATCAAACACAACCAGCATGTGTGCGCCCTCTGGTGGCGAGGCGTCGCTAACTCCTCGTGGAGTTTGGCGAGAGTCAACCAATCACACGCTACCGTGGCTCTGGCCCTTAGCTCCTCCTCCTGGCTGTCCAGGCGCCTGCGCAGGCCGGCGCCCTTCTGTTCGGGGCAGGTGGTCTCCGGCGTGCCGCTCGGCGTCCTCAGCCAGTGGTAAACCATCTCCGCGCTCCCCTCGCAGTCAGCCAGGCTCATCTGGGCCGAGCCCTGCGAGGAACACGGCGCCATCACCATCGTCATCATCACCACCACCAGCACCACCAATTGGTCACGGCCCTCACACCCACCAGTAGCTCCTCCTGGGCCTCGGGTCCCAGCGAGCAGACGGACAGCTGCAGGCCGCACGCCGCCAGGGCGCCCGCGGTGACGGGGATGCGGAAGCCTTCGTTGAAGGTCATCAGCGTCTGCGGCTCCAGCGCCGTGCAGCAGTAGAAGGCGAAGGCCCGGCCGGCGTCCAGCGGGATCAGGTGCACCTTCACGTACCTGCGCACGGAGAACGAGTTCTCTCAGGCGAGGTTCACATCCTCACGAAGGTTATTCGTAAAAATTCACTTTCTGCAAACTCTTCGCTCACAAACTACTTTATTACCTTTATTAAAGCTGTAAAGAAGAATAAAAGTCCTGCATGTTGAATTTCTTTTTAAAAGTTGTATATTTTACCTGCAGAATGCAAAATATTTAAGACTTCCTGTTGCTAGGAAATCAAAAAAATGATCCTTCATTGTTTTGTGCTAAGCTACGCTAATCATCAGCTGACGGAACCCACACTTTATATCCGTCTCTCACGAGGGACCGGTTCAAATTCTTCAGCTGCAGCAGATGAAGCCGCAGAGACTGAGAGGCGGACTCCCACCTGTGGAGACGGAGCAGCAGTTAGACACGGCGGGCGAGGTGGGGGGGTGTGGGGGGGTAACAATGGGGGGCTGGTTGACTCACAGAAGGCCCAGTTGGATCTGGGTGGGCTCGCTCACAGGAGTCAGGTCTTTGACGTAGGACATCTCGTCGGACTCTTCGGCTCTGTGGAGCAGAAATGAAGTGAAGACAAACTCGATACTTCGGCTGGAGGACGGACGAAGTGTCTTCAGGACAATGTCAGAATATCCTTAAGAAATGTCACTAAACCAAAAGATGGTTTTAAGCCCGCTATCTTTTTTTAGTGGATTTAATGGTCAATACATTTGTACTTTACGTGAAAAGAGGCGCGTGAGTTTTGCCCGTATTTAAAGAACAGAGATGGAAAACTATTAGTCCCACAAACCTTTACAAAAAGGCAGACACACGTCCTTACTTTTCACAATAAAAGCCCTCGCCACATCCTTTCTGCGTGGCTGTGTTCTCGCGTTGGTCATCCTCGTGCCCCGTTGTGTTTAGAGGCCTTTAATCCGTCAACAATGGTTCATCACAAGATTTCTGGGACAATTTATCATCCCGAACAATTCGCCATCCTGACAGGTTCTCTTTTTAAACCACTTCTGTGTTTGTGTAACGTTTCTACCTCGGATTGTTCAGATTTAAAGATTCCTCATGTTGTAAATGCTGAACCCTGAGAGCGGCTGCAGGTGTCCTGCTCCACCACTGGGGGGCACAGTCGCTCCAGAGGGAGCTACTTGTTTACGTCTGGTGAGGGCGGAGCTCCTCACCTTCTGCCCCAGGCCTCGAACACACCGCTGTCTGTGGCCAGAGCGTCCTCGGACACGCCCACTGAGACTCTCCGGGCCCGCCGCCCGCTTCTGTTGGAGGTGTTTCCCCTGAGAGTCACTCCTAAACGGGGGGCCCTGTCACGCCCAGTGAGACGTCTGATGGATTCTGTTATTGGGAGAAGCACTGG